TCCTGCGCGCCCTGGGCTGCGCGCTCGCTCCCGAGCGGCGCAAGCGCGAGCTCGCCCCTCCCCCTCGCGCCGCCGCGCGCCCGCCGGCTCCGCCCCTTTCCCTCCGGGGCCTTAGCTTACTGCACGCCTTTGCCACCGCCGGCGCCCGGGCCTCCCCTTGAACCTGCTGCTGCCCTCTCTCTGGCCGAGTCCTGGGAGAACGCGCGGGAGCCGCTGGTCTGACCTTGAGTCCGACCGGCAGTCACTTTTCCCGGGAGGTGCGTTGCGGGTCAGCAGAGGCTCGCCAGGGCTGAGTGACGAGTGAGCCCCTCCGGAGCGCCCCCCGTGCGGCGGGGCGGGCCGGTCCTGCCCTGCTTTTGTGTTTTTTAACACCCTGTTGCAGCAGCGAAGGAAAGTGAGGCTAAGGGACTCGGTGGCCGCCTCTGGAATCCGGGTGCTGGAGAGCTGCTCATGGATTTTCCAGACTGAATGGTTTAAGGGTGTGCGGGGTACGTTTATTCCGATGCTTCTGGACGGCCGACGTTATCTCCTCTGGAGAGAACCAGCCCGTCTTGGGGCTTCAGAGGCCCCGATTGAGGCGCAGTGATGAGAGGATGTGGTGGTCCGCTCTGATGTCAATCTTGAGGGCTAGGTATGTCCTAACTCTTGTTACTGCTAATTCTTATCATAGCTACCCTGTGTCGAGTGTGTATTGCATGCCAGGTATTGGACAGAGGTTACATGCATGGTCTCATTTAATCTTCCAACACGACGTTGTGAGGGAGGCTCTGTTATGATTCCCATTTTCCAGGTGAAGACATTTAGACTCTGGTTTATAAATAACTTGGGATCACACTGCTACAAAGTGTTGGCCAAGGAGATTCAGACTGTGGTCTGTCTTAACCATTAGGCTGGTACATCTGTTAAGAAGTTTGTCTTTCGTAAATTTGCCTAACCTCTTTTAGAATTCATTTACACGGCCTATGAGGCTTTTTTATTCATTTTTTAGTATGTAAGAGACAAGTTCATTGTTAAAAAAAAAAAAATCAGGAGATTCACATGAGCAAAAAGAATGTGAAAAGCAGCTCTCGAATGTTAGTTAACATTTTGCTATATTCTTTGCAGACATTTTCCTGTGCATCAATAAATATAGAGTCGTTTTACATTTGTTGTATCCTGAAAACCTATTTATTCACTCAACAAATATTTAATGAGCAGACATTGTTCTGGGTGCTAGGAATTCAGCAGTGAACAAAATAAAGTCTGCCTCTTATAGTAGTGGGGGAGGATGACAATAAGCAATCCGATATAATAAAAGCCTAATATGCTAGGTGTCTGGCCAGGCATTCAACCAATCAAAGCGTAATATGCTAATAATATGTTAAGGCTGCTCAACCACTTGCTCTGACGGTACACTGACCACCAGGGGTCAGATGCTCCAACCAATAGGTTAGTTTGCTGCTGGGGTCTGGCGGATCAGGACTGAGTGAGGTGAGATGAGCCAGACGCTCCCTGGAGCCCTCCTGCGATCCCTCTCCAGCTGGCCAACTTCCCACTTTCCTCCCCGGCCTGATCGTGCACTGGTGGGGTCCCTCAGTCTGGCCTGTGCCCTCTCACAATCTAGGACCCCTTGGGGGATGTCGGAGAGCTGGTTTTGGCCCAATCCCACAGGCCAGGCTGAGGGACCCCACTGGTGCACGAATTTGTGCACCGGGCTTCTAGTAACAAAATATATTGCTAAATAAAGATAATGCCCAGTTGCCAAAACCGGTTTGGCTCAGTGGATAGAGTGTTGGCCTGTGGACTAAAGGGTCCCGGGTTCGATTCCGGTCAAGGGCATGTGCCTGGGTTGCGGGCACGTCCCCAGTGGGGGATGTGCAGGAGGCAGCTGATCGATGTTTCGCTCTCATCGATGTTTCTGGCTCTCTATCTTTCTCCCTTCCTCTCTGTGATAAATCAATAAAATATATTTTTTTTAAAAAAGAAAAAAGATAATGCCCAGTGATGTGTCAAGTTTTATGGGGGGAAAATCAGGATAAAGGGCTAGGAAGGATATGGGGAATGCTCTTTTAGCTGGATAGACAAAGAAGACCTCCTAAGGGAAGAGCACATAGGTAGAAATCTAATCATTAAATGAAGGAGGCAGCTATGTGGATTTCTAGAGGGAATCTATTCTAGGGGAAGAGAAATGGCCATTGGCAGTGGTCCTATGATAGGGGCTTGGTTGGCATGTGGGAGAAGAAGCAAGGAGACCATATGGCTGGAGCACACCAAATTAGAGAAATAAGGTGTGAAACAGGCAGAAGCCTGATCATGTATCATCTGACTTTAGATTTGGTTGGACTTGGATTTTATTGGGACATGACAGAATACAGTGGTAGGGTTGAGAGCCAAGGAGTAATCAGATTTGCTTTAAAAGCATTACTCTGGAAGCTGTGTGGAAACATTAAAATTGCCCTTTAAAGCATGAATTGCCTTTTTCACACAGCAATAGTTCAACAGATAGTTTATTATTAACATTGGTGTTTCACCTACACCTTTGCAACCGCTCTCACATTCTCCACAAAGAGGAGATAGGGTCAGACACTTAGGACTTACCTTCATGTCTTTTTCACCTAAACTGCCTGGCGAGGGCTTATGTCCAGATCTGGACGTCATGGTTGTCAACAATCTGAATACGAATTATTAATGTACAGTTGTGGAAAAACAGTCCCACATAATACTGGGATCTATTCATTAAAAACATTGCATTTCAACACCTGAAAATTACCCTTCCTCTTCAATTGACGTGAGACCCTCATCAGAATTCTAAGCCCCCGTTTAGACATTGTGCTTAAGAAAGATATGGAGAAATGGAAATGCATAGTGAGAAGGCTAGCACTGATGAGGAACAGAGATTTGGAGGAAAATAAAAGTTATTTTTCAAATCTGTGTTTTGTGATAATCAGAGTGAAAATGACATATATGAGTTTAGAGCTCAGAGGAGAGGCCAGGACTAAAATTGTATAATTGTATGAGAATTGTTTCTTGGAATATGTGTCTTCTTTAGACAGAGCTTGAGGACAGACACTGTGTCTTTTCTTCTTTGTGACCTCAGTGCCCAGAAGTGCATCCTGGATGAATATTTGTGAAATGAGCAAGTAAAGGCAAAGGTATGGATGAAGTCACTCAGGCAAAATGTATAAGGTAAACAGAGAAGATATCCAATCTTTGCTTTCACTGGAGGTTCAAGCATCTGAACGTGGCTTACGAGTAGGGTGACCATAAGATCCGATTTGCTCAGGACAGTCCTGGTTTACTCCTACTATTGTACCCATATAATTAATAATATTGTCTCATTTCACTCTCAGAAGTGTCTCAGTCTGTACAATCCTGTATAATAAAAGGGTAACATGCAAATCAACTGAACGGCGGAACAACCGATCGCTATGACGTGCACTGACCACCAGGGGGCAGACGCGCAATGCAGGAGCTGTCCCCTGGTGGTCAGTGCACTCCCACAAGGAGAGCACTGCTCAGCCAGAGCTGTCTCAAGACTGGCTAGCTCAGCGGAGGTGGAGGGACATCCCCCGAGGGCTCCCAGACTGTGAGAGGGCACAGGCCGGGCTGAGGGACCCCCTGCCCCCTACCCCGCCCCTCCATGCCTCCATGCACAAATCTCGTGCACTGAGCCTCTAGTAAATTATGTGGTCACAATTTGTAGAAGGCCCTTCAGGGCGTAGTGTCTTCCTATTTCTGACATCACTGCCCCATCTCACATTTCATTCTCCAGCCAGACAGAAGCATCTCAGCTTTTCTTATGCACTCTGTTCCTTCCAAGCTTCCTTTAGCAAGGTACCTCCACTTCAACTGAAACATCACTTCCTCAGCAACACCTCTCCTGGCCCCAAGTCTGAGTTAAGTGGACCCTTTACATGCTTCCAGGGCAGCTTGTATTTAACCTGTCATAGCAGAGATAACTGTCTTGCTCCCCTCACTAAACATGTATAAAGGAACCTGAAAAAACACCTTTTATCCTTTTTAAGTTGAAATTTAATAATATCCAAGTTTAGTCCATGTTGGGCTAATATTTTGGAAAACTGTACTTCAGGACTTAGCACATTCTCCAAGCCCTTTTATTCATAACTAATTTAAGAAATTGACTTTGAAACCCAACAAGGAAAATTGTATCATACTGTCAGGCTCTGTGATGTGACTGCCATTGACTAAGTCCAGAATATCCCAACAGCTCTTCAACTGCTAAGCTTCAGTGATTGGAACCAAAAGTGTAGTGTCTGAGCTTCCCTCCCTCCCTATGGAAATGATTCTCTACCATTTTTAATACTTACTATGACCAGAGTGCTGAAAGAACTTTGTAAACTTTATTTCATCTAATGTTCTTCCTATAAACTGAGGTGGCTTTTTGTGTTTTATTTGTTGTTGTTGCTAATCCTCTCTAATCCTCTTAGAGAGAGTGGAAGGGAGGAGGGGTGAGGAGAGAGAGAGAGACACATCTATCATTTGTCTCCCACACGCATCCCGATCAGGGTGCCCTTGATCAGGAATCAACCCCTCCACCCTTTGGTGCACGAGCTGATGCTCTAACCACTGAGAACACCTGCTAGAGCTGAGGTGGCTCTTTATAGTTTAGTGTACAAATAAATAAAAACAGGAAGTCTAAAAGTCTAGCTATGCCTTCTAGGTTTCAACTTCCTTCCCTTTAAACTCTGAAATATACCCAGTCAATGTAAATTAACCAGAGATTCCAGTCCTGGGCCCAGCCCTTTGCCAATTACAAAGGCTCTTCAAGTCATGCAGTCTTTCTGTGACGCACTCAGTAGAGAGGGCTTCACCCCACAAAAGGCCTGAGCCTCAAGGATGTAAGTTCTCAAGGCCTAGTTCAGGATTGGTTCCTCCTTAGCCTCTGCTACTGCCTCTTCATCAGGAGCATTGCCATCCTCCCTCCTGCTCGCCTCCCCCATCACTCTGTGCCTCTCTCTCTTTGTCTCTTCGTGGCCACCCTAGTCAAAGGAATTAGAGCATCCTTTTCCTTCCAGGAAGCTCCTAGAGTGCTTATTTAATTTGATCCACCCAAACTATGACCAGTCTGCAGAGGAAGGGTTGAGGCACCTCTGCTAATATACCTAAAGAAATGTAAGGTTTGCCGTAACCGGTTTGGTTCAGTGGATAGAGCATCGGCCAGCAGACTGAAGGGTCCCAGGTTCGATTCCAGTCAAGGGCATGTACCTTGGTTGCGGGCACATCCCTACTAGGGGGCATGCAGGAGGCAGCTGATCGATGTTTCTCTCTCATCGATGTTTCTAACTCTCTATCCCTCTTCCTTCCTCTCTGTAAAAAATCAATAATTTTTTTTTTTAAAAGAAGAAATGTAAGGTTTGCCTATAGCCATTTCTCCACACAGTGAGACCTGTCTGGGGATGCTTCTGCATAAGTAGGACGGTCCTAGAGATCTCAAAGGTAAACAAGAGGGAGAAAATTTTTTCTGCATGAGAGCCCTGCTGCAACCTACTTTACAAATAAGGAAAAATGAGTCTCAAAGAGGTAAAATCACTTACACAATAAACATATCCTCCAATGAAGATTTTTTAAAAAAAAAAGTTGTTCTGGGTTAGATTGGCCAGTGCTCAGCATTAGAATTTTGTCATTATTTAAATCAGCAATTGTCAGCTAGAAATAGGTAGGTTTCCAGAACAGAACACCAAGCAATGTTACCAGGTAGCACAACTAGAATTGAAATCATAGCTGTCCAGAGGTGCCTGTGGGAATCGCTCTGACACACTGAGGCTGGGTTCCTTGGGCCTGCTGGAAGAATAGGTACTGCTTAGGGGCTAGCCTTAGCCCTTTGGGATTGGGTTGGGCTCTTTGGGGCTAGAAGAGAAAAAGCAGATCGGTCCAAGTGTAACTAATAAACTCCCTCTGACTAGTTAAAATGGAAGTTAGAAATCAAGATTTACATAATGCTATGGCCATTACACAGAGTTTTCATGAATCTAAACCTTTGCTTCCCCATTTCTTCTGCCTCTTCCTATCTCACTGACTGCTTTTGATCTACAGAAAGTGCAGGATGTCAGTGTCATGATTCATCAGGCTTTGGGTAGAATCCAAAAAGTTAGGAAAACTAGGAATGTATTGTTGCTGCGTGACTTCTGTTTATCAGAAAACTTTAAAATGCCTACTCGGCAGCCTAGCTACATACTTTTCAGCCTACCATACAGGGCCTCCACCTTTTGACTGCCAAACAGGCTCCAAAAATATTTTGCATCATTCGATGACAGACAGTTTATATTCTTTGCAACCAGCAAGTACCTAATGTTTGAATTATGATTTGTAAGGAACCTGACACAGTTTAATATAATTTAAAAAGCATGGACTTTCCTTAATTTGAATCACAGAATATTACATTAGTGCCTCCTTATCTGTGGTCTTGCTTTCCGTTACCAGTGATAAATCATGGTCTGAACGTATCAAATGGAGAATTCTAGAAATAAACAGTTCACGCCTGTCACCAGCTTTTACTACCTTTAAGAATTTAGGCAAGTTATTATCTGTGCCTCTTTTCTCATATGTAAAATGAAAAATAGGATACTTAATAAGAGTTTTATGATGATGTATATATAGTACCTAATTCATGGTGGTAGACAAATAAATTATAATGGTAATTTTAATTCTATAAATGCTCCATGAAATAACCCTGGGGCTTGTTTAGGAGTTGTTCTAGATTGGGGGTTGTGGCTTTGTTCACCAGTTGGGGCATGTACAGGAGGCATCATAAATGTTTCTCTCTCACATCAATTTTTTTCTCTCTCTCTCCCTTTCCCTCTGTCAAATCAGTAAACATATCCAGAACAGAGCACCAAGCAATTAAACAGAATTTCTTTTGCTCCCTGTCTCTTTAGTACCTTTTTCACTACAAAACTATTAGAGTGAGCCCTGACCAGTATGGCTCCCTTGGTTGGGCACCTTCCTGTGCACTGAAGGGTTGCTGGTTCAATTCCTGGTTGGGGTATATTCCCAGGTTGTGGGCTGGGGTCTTGTCAGAGGCAGCCGGTTGATGTTACACTCTCACATTGATGTTTCTCTTGTCCCCTCTCCCTTCCTGTCTGTCTATAATAATAAAAGGGTAATATGCTAATTATACTGGATGTCCCTCCCGACGTCCTTCCAGATGTCCTTCCAGACAACCTTCTGGGCGAAGCTGCGGCAGTGGGGGCTAAGGCAGCCACCGCGGTGGGGCTTGGGCTGAGCCCCTTGCATGAATTTTGTGCATCAGACTTCTTTTAAATCAATAAAAATCAATAAAACAAAACAAAAAAGTAATGAGACTGTACATTATCTCACAGGTAATAGGGCCTATGCATAGTTGTAATCAAGGACAATTAATCCTGACTTACCTTGAATGCAGAACAAACTCAGGAGCTCCATCCCATTTAATTAATGTAAATAGTAAACAGACATATATTATGATCAATTAACTATAAGACTATTCCTCACAGTACAGAGCAAGTTCTTTACTATTGTAATCGAAACTAACAAGGTTAAATCAGCTCAAGTGAAGCAGCTCAAGCTAAGCTGCTCAAATGAAGTAGTAAAGTAGCCTATATTACAGGTCTAGTGTTGCCAACTGTTATAGCTCTAATGTTGCTGTTCAAGCTTTACAGTGTGCAAGCTGCGGAAATGCAGTGGAAAATGCACTCCATCCTAACAGGGGACGCTGGCTTATACAGAAAGAAGTTCTTGTCTGTGTCCCTGATTGGTCCATTTCTATGTAAATGAGGACTCCAAAGTCACACAGTTTTGTTTCAAATTGTACTGTTCTGTTTGGCCGGCTCACACAGTCTGCTTGGTTGTGGAGCGGCTCTGCTTGGTTAGTAACTTATGCAAATGAGGATATGGCTGCACAGCTCCAATTGGACGGGAAGATCTTAATCCCATTGGTCCAAATACAATACCAGGAGTTTCTCTAAGTGAGGGCAGGAGCTCCATGCAGGAAGCTTGGCAGCTCAGTCTATGGCTTTCCCCTGACATGTAGTATGTGTCAGAGCCCTCTGTAATCAGTGGCTATTAAATTCTGGTTATGAATTTGGGCCCAATTAATCACAATGAGCCTTTGTTGGCAGATATTCTTTCTCCGGGTTCACACTCTTCAAAATGGCACTGCAGGGTTCTCCTCCCTACTTGGTACTGAA